TATTTGTTAATTTTTGGTTTTTATATATTATTTGTTTTAAAAATATTTATAAATATTATTATTAAAGTTGAGATTGTTTTCATACCAAAGAATTGTTGATAAATTCGGGAAATTGTATTTTGAACTTTATAAATATCATGAATATCGCGAATTCTTCTAATATTTAATAGAAAAATGATTGAATAAAAATATGAATATTTGATGTTAAGCTAACGATTAAATATTAGCTTTTTGTTTACAAAATTTGACGACTGCTTTCGACATTGCAGAATCGCGAGTAAATTATTCCAAATTTCATGATTTGATTTTGTTTTGATTGATGAATTGATTTATGAATTTCATGTCGGAATTAAATATTCGTTAAATTAATGGATTGGAATTAAACCCAGGTTTTCCTGGCGATTTCTGGAAGCAATACTTTTGGTAGTAACTCAACGACGACTGCCACACGTCTTTTCGATGTCAAATCTCGAAATTAATTTAAATAATATTTTTGAAGAGAAAATATATTTCTTTCTCTTCGTTAAAAGTGTTCTTCCATCATTATTAATATTAATTTATTATTGTCTTAATTTGCTAAAAAGATTTAATAGAGTAGATTGAACATGGATATAGCTAATGTATATAGATAAATTTAAATTTTTCAAGCAATTTCAAATTGCAATCAATTTGTTTATTTCTATTGACTTTTTTGATACAAATAATTATTATAATGCTTGATATTATTTTGATTTATTTTATGTGTTCAATTGTTGCAAAGTATTCAAATTAAATTTTTTTAAATTTTGCTGTTAACGGGTTCGATTCGTCTCGAGCAGTTGGTACCCGAGATTATTTGTACTCGCACATTTAACGCTAGCTACATAACGCGATGCATGTATTTTATCATCCATAAATATAGTCGCTCGTAACCACATTTTCATAAAAATTGTTATATCCATTTAATTTTTAATAAAGAGATATATTTCTTAATAATCGGGAGCAGTCTGGAAGATCCGGGATTCGTCCCCTCCTACAGCGAGGTTTCTGATATTCAATAGATCACTTAACTTTTCTTTGCGAATTAATCTTACGGGGTCCGATGTAGAAGCAAGAAGTTGATTGTTCTCCACCTTTAAGATTGTTCTTGTCTTTGTCGGATATTAATCGGCGTGTTATCTGGCGGAGGGATCTTGATCTGGTCAAATCGTTAGGCCAGTTATCCTCCATTGAACGCGGCGGTAACGCAATGTTTTTATAACGGTATTTTAAGATTTATAAGATTTTATCCTGTTTAGTCAATCCTCCGCGAAACGGTACATATATTCTTATTGTCAATCGCGAAATTTGCATAAAATCACGTGTTTGAAAATAAATCGGGCATTAGGTTTTATATTCACAAATGTCCTATTACAGACACGATTATAAAAAGCATTTTAAATGTCTGTCGAAACATTTTCGTATATAGTAATTATATCATTCCTCTGATTGTTCCAAAAATTACATGTACATACATTGAAATCGAGTATTATTTCGACTGATCTCGGCTATCACCGTTTTTTTTTTATTCGTCGCGTTTTTTTCTCAAATTTTAAATCGCAGTTTATCTTGTGATTTAATCGTTAATTTACATCGAAGCTTCGTCTATCTCTTTTTGAATATTTTCTTTGAAAATCTACGCAAAATGCGCCAGTAGACCAAGTACTTTTTTCTACAATTAAAAAACGATCGATAATTTTATTAACGATTTTTCTGGTCATAATAGTTTGTATTATATAAAACTTAAGCTTTGTAATTGCATGTTGATCATTAATCAAATATCGTATTAATCATTGCTTATCAGCTATCTGATCTAAAAATTGCTAGTGAATTCTGCATCATATGAATATTTCGGACATTTTCGTGTAATAGATTCATTATAATAAAGTTTATGTAATAAATTCTTTTGTATTACATTGTAAATTAAATTTTATATTACTAGTTAATTAACTTATTAACTTTATACTATATTCTGTAATATATATTTGTAATATATTTAATTCTCTATATTAGATGTATAGAATTATTTATAATATATATTTTGTAATATCTTTTGTAATATATTTTGCATGGAAGCAAAAAAGACAATAATCGAGAGAATAGAGAAAAAGGGGCTCCAAAATATTTTCATATCCCAGTCGGAATTTAGAAATATCTTGATACGCGATACGACATAGAAAAAATTGATTTCTGAGGAACAAAAGTTTATCCTACTATATTTGTCCGTAATCTTTCATTTTTTAAAGCGTTTTAATCATTAACAGCGTTAATTAATTTTTTCACATACACACACATTTTTATAAAATTATTTAGATATTAACTCTAGTTACCCGTTTTTTCAAAATTAAACAAATTAAAATTATACACACATACTTAATATTTGAACTGTCGAATGCGCGGCTCAGCCAGGACAGCCTTTTATTGATATGAAGTAATGCACAGCGTAGTGTCGAGATAATCAATCAGCATCGCGGAAAAAAAGCAATAATACTTGCGAGTATCAATTTAACATGCCTTTTTTAAAAATGGATAATCAGAGCACACATCATATTTGGACATAAATTAGCCAATGCAAAAGATTAATAATTATTTAGATTATTTATTAATGAATATGTTCTGCACATTTTTGATTTTTAAAATATCGAATAATACATAACAGGCATAATTAAGTTATTCTCTTTCAGACATTAAAAAATATAAATTAGAATAAAAGACAAAATAAATTAAGAAAAATTAACTAAAACACGAACAGTACGCGTCTCTTCTCGAGCAATATTATGTATCGTCTATAATATATATTTGTATATTTTTTGCTTGTTATGAAAGCTTTATTCTCTGTTTTTCTCTTACATACGGTTGTCGTAATGGATTACGATCGATGATCCCATCTAAGCATGTTTCTATTCCAACGCTTTAGAAAACATAATGTTATTTCAATTATAACGCTATCTTTATTTTAAATTAACATAAAATTAAAGTTACAAATCGTGTAAAATTAAATTAAATATAAATTTTTACATTGACAAATATTTCACAAAAAAGTATCTCGTGCACATAACGAAAAGCTCGTTTAATTTTTAAACACGAAAATGTTTCTATACATATGTCAATTACGGCTATAAAAAATTAATATTCCTTTGATGATTAAATAATGCTCTTCATTATGCAGTGTAGCAGTCCGGCGAGCGCGCTGGTAAAACCAGCGTTATAGTCTACCATGACTTCCGTGTAAATATCCTCCTCTCGCATATCTCTAAACAAGTCTCTTTTATTAGGTCCGGAAACTAGAGCACCGTAAAGAATCTGCGGATTCGACTTGTTACTGTCGAATTCTCTCCATCCGCAGGGCGCTGGTCTATCCGGGCAAGAAGACGCAGCATGATGCGGCTGTTTCGGTGAATTTCTACCGTATCCGACCACATAATTTCTTCCTAAAAATTGTACGGAAGTAAAACAGAGTTCAACAAAGATAAAAAAAAAATATTTGATTCAATATCTATGAAAAACGATGAGTCGTCGTTATAACTTGTGAAACATATGCGCGTTGAATAGAAATATATATAATTTCCTTTTGAAAATCAAAACATTTTTATTCAAGTTTTACCTGTTTTACCCAGCATATAATCAATCTGTTCTTTGGCAAATTGGCAATATTTATGCGAGTCGTCAATTTCAATAAAATCCGTCGCTTCCAAGCAGACGAAGGCCACATTAGCGGCGTGACGAAGAGTACCCAACTTGCTAATATACAGAAGACCCTTAGGCGTGCGTGTCTGTTCTTGCATCGAGAAGTCGCAAAAGTCGCGAGCGGCTTTTTGGTACTTGGATTGTCTTGTTAATTGAGCCAGCAATACCTACGAGAAATTAAAAAATCTATGTTAGCTGAAGATAATAAAAGAGACAAGATACCATCTTATTTGGTGAATTATTATTCATAATTCTTTTTGCAATCGAAAAGATCTTAATTTAAAAAAGCTAAAATATATTTGTCAAAGAATTAAAATCTTTTAAGACAGATACATTATCAAGATAAATATGATAAAAGTCGTATAAATAAATAATAAGTTATCAGAATTGTTTTACCTGAACTCCGGCGATCTTGTTGTTGTAAAAGAATTCATTTGGCCGTTTATCGAGATGGAATTGCTGATAATGATTGACGGCATCGTTGAGATACACAAAGTTTTTGGTCGCCTTGAAAAGCCAAACAGCCGCCCATGCTAGCTCGTCGCCGTAACCCGTGCTCTCATAAAATTGTTTTGCATTTGGTATAGCTTCGTGATAAAGACCGCGATAAGTATTGGCAAATTTATAAAGCTGTTCCGCATGTTTGAGACACTCGGCGCTGTACTCAGGATCAACGTTCGCGAAGACGATGCTCGAAGCTGCGAGAGCAGCCGCCGTTTCGCCGGCGAGATCAGAACCTACGATCGATTAATGACAAATCAAGCAAAATAATTTATTTTAATTATATATATATATAGATTTATTGACTTATACTGTACCAGGATGCTCCGGATCAATTTTGTAGGCTGGTCTGACGGTATTATTCGGCAGCTCCTCGGGTCTCCCCCAAAACCGATGATCGTCATTAAAATTGCCCACTTGTCCATATAGTACGTTCTCGCTTACATGACATTTGATGACGTAATCTGTAGCCCATTTGATAGTTTTATGGATTTCGTCCAGTTGATTGGAGATGTTATAAGCCTCCGGCCAACTGACTACACCCCAAGCCAAAAGTGTCATTGCGGAAACCATTGTAAAGCCGAACTTTACAAAGTCACCAGCTGAGCAAAGAGAACAAAGATGATTAGTTTTGTGAAATAAATTGCATAATTTTTCATTGCCAAGAAATTTAATAAATCATTATATCGTCATTAATCTGCATTATATGCCAAACAAGGATATATTTTCGTGTCACTTCTACGTAGACGTCTTTAATAAAAATAAAAATTTTAAATTTAAATAATAAATGTAAAAATTGAAATAATTATCTAAATTTTATCGAACAATGTTTTCCTTATTTTTTTCAATTCTCTAAGTGACTTGACGATTTATTACCATCATAATATCCTCCAGTTAGGTCCTCGCCGTTCGAACCACGGTCATTCAATGCGGAATCGCCTCGCCATGGGATTCTATTGTCTTTTGGCAACTTCCCAGAACGTTGCGCTTCGTAAAACAATAACGAAAGCTCCAGGACTTGAGAATAATTTTTCCCATTCTCGATTACTTTCATATTGTTGCCATTTTTCATAAAGGCATTTACCGTGTACGTTGAGGTAATCAATATTACCAACAGAATCTGTCAATAAATAACATATTAACAGGCGTTTAATACCATCGTCGAATGGCGAAAGTGTTCGCCAAGAGCGCATGTAATGATGATTTTATAGTGCACGTGCACCGAGGACAATGTAAAGCAATGTCGTGTAGAGTCTTAAATTTTGCATATAGTCTACAGTCTTATAACATCATTTGTATGTATGGTAATCTGTGCGATCAAGGTTTACGTAAAGTATACTCGATTTCTCGTTTTATGAGAAAGGCTAAGCATTTCCAAATTGGATGGACGATCGAATTTGAATCACTTTGATCCGCATAACGCGATGAAGCTATTTCACGACGACAACAGAATAAATATGAGAATTGATCATCATGATATCTATGCCCTCGCTTATTTTTTTCTCTCAGCTAATCCAATCGACGTAAATTCTTCGAAAAGTAGAATAATGAACATATTGCGGTTGCATCGGTTGGTTATTAAAAAACCACACAGAATAATGCACACACAGAAAATTTCTCTATCTCGGATCTTGTTTCTCTCTTCTTATAACCGACAATATGGCGAAATCGCACGAATCGCCGTGATAAATCCACAAGGCACGTACGAGCTACGTGACGGACTTAAACGCGATTTATTCGAGCTGGATCTTCGTTACGATCCACCTTCGTTAGAGATTAAATTCTTCCACGGTTATAACTGCATTCACGTGATTTAAACACAAAATGAATTTTATATCTGTTTCAAATTTATTTAACATTTAATCTTTGATGAAATAAATACAAAGCTGCGTTTTTCACGATAGCAGTAGACACAATAAATTTTTTGCAAGAACAAATATATATATATATGTATTTATGAATCACATAGTTTGCAAAGAATTTATTCCGGAAATAGAAAAGATTCTTCGTCAAATTCAGTAACGAAATGTTTTTAAACAATTTTATTCCGACTTTTAATAAATTGCTAGGACCTCGAAATTCTTCAAGATTAGCATGATTGAGTAAGATGATTAGAAATAGAGATAAGATGTAGTTTTTCCGATTTATTTCGAGCAAAAGTATCAACGTCAGTGTCAACAGCTTGACGATTAGAAAAACTATTGCGAATATACGTGTTATCGAAGGCCTTAAGGAAAGATAATATAGACAATTGATATAAACATAAGATATAAACCAGATAAAGACGATAATAATTCTTGATCTTTCCAGAATTTATATTTTAATTGAAACGCGAGGAATTCGAAAATTGTTTAATTTATTAGATTTTTGTCCAAACACCAGCAAATATAGTCTGCTTTTTAAAAAAAAAAAAAAATCTTTGAAATATATAGAAAATGTCATCTCTTATAATTTAAGCTAATTCTCTCCCCCCCCCTCTTTCTCTCTCTTTTGCTTTAGATTGTTTATCGTTTTACTTATAAATATATCTTTGCGACAAAAACACCCATGAGATATTTAATTCGTGAATACGAGAAACCGATATATATGAGAAGAAAAGAAAAAGTTTGGAGACGCGTTTGATCCCGCTTCCTTGTCGCCAAAGCGTTCTTCAGCTTTCCGAGAAATTCTCAGTTCGTCGACCGTGTAATTTCTGTATGACAAACGCCAATAGCTTCGGCAAATATCGGCCTTATTGTGAATTCGTGTATTTCTACTTGCGTGGGAACTTCTTTCGCGGAATATTTTTGAAACATATGCCCGAAGTAAGAGCGCATATCTCTCGCTGCGCCAATATTACAAAGTCTGAGAAGCGAATACGTAATGACAATAATATTATAAAAATAAATAGTAACAAAAACTCTCTCTCTGAGAAATGAAAACCGAAAGTTGATATTTCATTAGGATTTTTGTTCATTCAGAAACCAATCATGTTAAAAAAAGTGACAATAATAATGAAAATCATCAAATATATATGTCACTTTTAAGAAATGTATATATATATACATAATTACAATACAATGTACATTTCGTTGTTTAAATTTTAGCAAATTAGCGATTTTAAACTAATAATTAAGGTTTTTAGAAAATCTTCTAAGTGCTCATTTTTTTCTGTCATGTATTACGCGTTTTGTTGCATTCTTCTCTCACTCTCTTCCTCACGCGTATTTTCCCGCGTGTGAAACGCATGTTCAAACATTCGAGTGTGACGTAATGCAATACGCAACAGATATAATTGCAAATCACGACACTAGAGATTATTGACGAAAAAAACTCACCGTGATGTACATGTTGAAGATTTCGAGCTTCATTTTGCCTTCGCTATACTATCGTCCCGGAAGTACGAACGCGACGCGTCACGTGGATTTAGAAACTTCACGTGTGATATCGTCTATCTTGACAGAATGTCGACGCAAATCTGCAAATAACGCATTTCGCATGAAAGCGTTGCGCTTTTCTTCGTAAAGCTCTCGTTTGCTTGTATCTCTCTAAAATCAAAGATAGATGATGATTTCCGGTATAAATATTTCAACATTAAGTATTTTGCAAATATTATTATTGATAAAGTCTACAACGCAATAATGGATTGAATAAAAAAAAAAATAAATCTGGGGAAACTGAAACCTATTTTATGTATTTAAATCTTTATTATGTAGTTAAATCTTTATTATTTCGATCAAATAAGTGCATTTTTCAATGACTTCTACGTTTATTTGCAAAACGAAAAAATTGACACGTCATGTTTAGCATTTAAAATAATATCGAAATTTAAACTCACTGCAATTATACCGAGCCTTTTTCTTATTGACCAAACTCGAATGCACTTAAATTGTTGCGATCCCGAAGAAAACTCACGGGAAATTGAGAGATCTCGAGTTTGAGGTCGACAATCGCAATCTTTCCGTTTTTTTTCTTGTTATATTTCCCAGAAAGAATCAATCATTTTCTATGAGTTTGAGGATGACAATCATCGTAGTCTTTCTGGTTTTTTCTTACGTTATATTTCCCAGAAAAAAAATCGAATATTTTCCACTACCGGTAGTTATACCTGCGATACAGAACAAAACAATTCGTATCCGCTCTTTTCTTAATCTATCCCTTGTTAAGCTACTTTTTTGACTATTATTTTCCTACACTTTTTAGTTTGATCACATCATGCGCTATTCTCTATAATTTGTCGCCATTTCATTTCTCTCACATTTTTATTAAACATTGTTATAAAATATTTAAATTAATATATTTAATATAA